GGTGCCACCATGCAAATATTCTCAACATTATTTGAAAAAATACAAAGAGTGTTGAAATATCTGAATGCCAAATAGCTTATAGTCAACATTTTGGGGTGATGAAGTATTTGACTTTTTTGAAGGAGATTTTTTTGCTTCAGTTGGATGCACCTTTTCATCAGGAAGTTCTCATAGCATCCTTATGTGTCGGCCAAACATAAATAATTAAAGATAACCAACTACTAGTAATATTTTACCTTTCCATACAACAATTGTTATAAGAGTCAATAAAATGTGACCACTTATCTCTCTAGAGGCCCTGGTGACTCTATTTGCAATAATAAATGGTGAGGTATGAAGAAGTCATATTGCTTCATAAGCCCTTATGACAAATTAATGGCATGCATTCGAATAAAATATGACCTATTTATGACAATTCCCGAATATAAAAGGTCAGTACTATTTTAAAGTGAAATGCAATAAACACAAATGTGTTGGCAAGATTAATTTACTATTTTAAGCAGCAATACCTAATGTATAAAACATGAATGTGTAATACAAATACACATATTTGTATAAAATATATTTCCTTTAACGTACTTGAAATAAAGAGAGCTCCTGTCCTTAACTGGCTGATGGAACTAACTGAAAAAGGTCTTGAGAAAACAGGCATGTTGTCTAGTCTTCGCCATTTGATCTTTGGTTCTGGGTAACCCTCAACATAACAAGGTAATGTCACATTTGAACCAATTTCCATAGACACATCAGCAGGTTCTTGTATGAAAACTGGAGGTGCTGGAAAATATTAAAAACAACAAAAAAGTCATTGGTAGAGTATATAGGCAAATTAAATATAAACTTTACTATGAAACTGTCAACAGATTGAATTTGAGTCAAATCACTGTTTAGATATTGTAAATTTACCCTGTAGGTATTCCTGTCTGATATAGAAATAGCAGGTGTTTCTTTTTTGCTTTATAAATGAAGAGACACTAAGAAGTTCAAACATTTACTTGACGTGATAGATGACAAAAGAGTGGGAATTGAAATCAAGATTACCTTAAATAAAGACAATCTTTCATTTTAGGAATTTGTTTTTAATTTTAGTTTATATCATATTGCTCAAAACTTAAGACTTTCTTATAAATAAGTTGGCCTTGTAGTGAA